ATTAATCATCTGTTTTAATTGAGCTTTTAATTTCATTTTTTAAAGCTTAGTCTTTGAGTTATGAAAAATAAGTCGTCCCACAGTGTGAACCATTTTTTGCAGCAGGCTGTGAACATGTTTCTTTCTGCTGTTAAAATGGACGTCTTAATATGGGCTCTTATGAGGATTCATTTGCTTCTGAATCCAGCCTCAAGTGGACACTTAAGGAACTGCATTTTTCATCATGCACCTCCACATTGGCTTCATTTTTTCTACAAAGGTCGAGGAGGATGCTGCTTGATAAATTCTGATTTCCAAAACTGAGGAGAAATAAATTCTGTTGATTTCTCTAAAGTCACTCCTCAGTCCTGGAAAAATCTCCTCCACAGCCACCGAAGACATCATGTGGTTTATTCTGTAGTAAAGTGACTTAAATAGATAGAAGCTGTTCCTGTTAGTTATCAGCTACATATAGCTCATCGTGGTAACACGTTTTGTCCAAGGAGTTTTTTCAAGGCTGCTAACTTTGCACCTTCAGACGGTGTTGAAGCTCAAAACAAACCTCATTGATTTAAGACAAAAGGAGAGACAAAAATAAAGTACAGAGATAACGGGAGGAAGCTGGTAACATTGCTGCGAGCGAGCTGATGTATTTCTGTCACCGTCTTTTGTCTGCAGGTGTGGTTCGAGCCTCCAGCATCTTCCCCATCCTCAGTGCCATTCTGCTCCTGCTGGGCGGGGTGTGCGTCGCCGCCAGCGGCTTCTACAAGAGCAAGAGAAACATCATCCTCGGTGGAGGGATTCTCTTTGTAGCTGCAGGTGAGACCGAGGCTCCTGCTCCTCTGTTCTCTCAGTCTGGAGGTAACGTTTGTGTTGAGGAAAAATGTAGGAAAGTAGAAACCCGTGGTGTTCCTTCTGCTCTGAACGTTAAAGGGATACTTCACCCGTTGAAACATGAATCTGTGTTGACATTGGGTCATATATGTAGAAATGTGAAATACATTTTGAAGTTGGTGCCTTCTTGATGAGAAAAGGCAGAAAGTGTCTTTTTGGCTCATGTGGATGAAAGACATCAAATCCCAGAATGCACAGCACCACAGGCCACTCCCACTAAGGTCCTCTATTCACAGACATTTACTACAACACATACGACCGTTTCCTCAACTGATTCCGAGATTTCTTCCAGAAGGAATTAGCATCTTGTAAATTCCTGTCAGAAAACAGACTCTATGTCTGTGTCCATAGACAAACAGTGAGAGCACCGACACTACCAGCCCGCCCCAGCTCAAGCCGGCCCCGGCTCCTCGTCCTCACCGCCGCAGACAGGCAGGTCCCTTGCTTCGGCTGCAGTACTGAGGTCTTTACACTGGCTCCCAGTCTGTCAGAGAATAGACTTTAAAATCCTGCTGCTGGTTTATAAAGCACTTAATGGTTTAGGGCCAAAATACATTAGTGACCTCCTGAATAATTAGGAACAATCCAGACCGCTCAGGTGGTCTGGGACAGGTCTGCTCTCTGTCCCCAGAGTCAGAACCAAACATGGAGAAGCAGCGTTCAGTTTCTATGCTGGAACAAACTCCCAGAAAACTGCAGGTCTGCTGAAACTCTCAGCTCTTTTAAATCCAGGTTGAAGACTCACCTGTTTACAGCCTTTCATTAAACAGCTTTAATAAGATTTTAAACTTTAACTCTGCACTGTAACTTTTAACTCTTTTTATATTTTTACTTTATTTATTTCATTTGAATTATTTCTATTTGAACATATGTTCAGATTTAATAATTTCAGTGATTTTTTAAATGTTCTATTTGAATGTTTCTTTTCTTTCCTCTGTCATGATGCTTTTGATGTCTTGTGTGAAGCACTTTGCCTTGTTGTTGAAATGTGCGACATAAATAAACTCACCTGAACTTATAAATCTTTTCCCCTGTTAGACAATTGAGATGAACCACTCAGATGCAGCCATCATAATGAGCTCTTATGAAGGATGTGCAGTTTGATTTCCTCTGTGGAACATTTCATGAAGCTGCAGGTGAATGTGTCTCCGGGGAACACTTCCAGTAACTGTCTCGTATTTCTCTTCAGGCCTCAGCAACATCATCGGCGTGATCGTCTACATCTCCGCGGCGCTGAGCGACATCTCTCCAAAGAAAGATGAGGACAAGAAGTGGCACTACTCCTACGGCTGGTCGTTCTACTTCGGCGGGCTGTCCTTCATCCTGGCTGAGATGGTGGGCGTCCTCGCCGTCAACATCTACATCGAGAAGAACAAGGAGCTGCGCTGCCGCTCTCGCGCCGACCTCTTCAAGAGCACCACGCACGCCATGCTGCGCCTGCCCAGCTATCGGTTCAGACGGCGCTCTCGCTCCAGCTCGCGCTCCACCGACCCGCCGCACTCCCAGGAGACCTCGCCCATCGGTGCCTCCAAAACCTTCAGCCTGCCGCCCTCGGCCCCGCCCTTCTCCGTGGCCACCCTGCCCAACCCTCACCACACCAGCAGCGGCGGGAGCGGAGGAGGCGGAGACATCTCCATGTACACGCTGTCGAGGGACTCCAAGCTGGGCAGCCTGGGAGGTGGCGCCCCGCCGCTCTACGGCACGGTGGACCGCGCCACGCTGTACCAGCTCCACAACTACTTTCCAAAAGATTCGACCGGCAGTGGAGGGAGTGGAAGCGGAGGAGGAGGAGGAGGAGGAGCGGTGGTCAGCAGCGGTACTCTCCCGTCTCACTCCAAGTCCAACCTGGCGGCGGCAGCGGCTGTAGCCCAGAACGCGGCGCCGCTGAATACCTCCACCACCGCCGTAGCAGCGGCCCCGGCGGCTCCGATATCTACAGCCACCATGGAAAGGGAAAGGGGCAACGTGGGAACCCTGGACCGACTGACGGCCAAGAGGGACCGGGATAGCAACTCAGATACTCTGAACAGGAAAACGACACCGGTTTAGAACCTCGCCGGGAGGGAGGAGTTAGATATGTTTGGCGTTAAAGCGAGGAAAAAGTAGGGCTGAAAATGTGAAGGCGACACATTGACGGTGATGTTTCTGTCCTTGAGCCTGGGGGTATCCAACTACCATGAGTAAGAACTCTAACAAATTCACTTGGTGGCCATTTTCACATAAAATATCTCGGAAATTGTCATCGTATTGGGTATGCTAACATGCTAACAATGCTAACAAATGTTGACCAACGCTAGCTTATTGGAGGTTAAATATGTTATTCAACGTTGGCTGGGAGTTCGTCCTGATTCACGTCCCATTCCCAATGTTTGCATGAACTCCAAATTCAAAACACATCTCGGCTACGTCCAAACAAAATTTGAGTTTCCCGCCAAAATGGCCACCACAAGAATATGTCATAAACCGTCATAAAACCGTGATATGTGCTTTTTAGTGACAGCTGCCTTAAAGTAGTCGTCCGTCTTCTTACAAGTGCCAAAATAGTTTGAGTAACCCTGATTTTTTTTTACAATAAAACATCTTTATTTCCTGTTTTTACTGTTTAGAATCAACTAAATTTATTTATGTAATTTACCTGAATTAAATTAAAGACGATTAAAACGGCAAATTCTGGAACATTTCTTGCTAAGAATGTAGCTAGCTTTGACAAAAATTAGCCTACTCTCTTTGCAAGCAGCACACTTAACTCAAATATTATGCAAGATGTTCCGATGATCAATGTTGTTATTGTGAATTTGGCTGTGTTCAATAGACTTTTGGGTTTTTTTTGGATTGACCCAGAAGCCCCAAATACCGCATTTCTGTTTCAACTAAACTCAACAGTTTGAAGTGAAATCCAAATTTCTGTGGTTTTCTAAACTCTCCAGCTCTTTTAGAAAACATCATGAAATAAAAAGTGTCCAGATGGTACATGCCGAGCTTCTCTTTTCCATTTCTGTTTGAAGAAGAACAGAGAGCCACAGACGGGAACATTCAGCCAAGAGGCTGCTCAGTGATGAGTTGACTGCCAACTCCAGGTCAACAGCGGCGCCTTAACCTTGGGTCCCGAGAGAGTGACCTCGGCCATATCTTAACCTGCCGACACACACACACACACACACACACACACACACACACACACACACACACCAGGCGAGGCACTGTGAGCCTATTTATTTTTCATTGTGTGTCAAAGGTAATTACAGTGACAGATGGGCATTCCCCGCACAGCCGTAGACTTTGAGCTTCACCCAGAACGCCTCCGTTACACCACCGCCTGCTGTCACCGTTTGGTTAAACTCTGCAACAAATGTCCGTTAGAACAAAAAACTTAAGATTGCTTCAGGCTTTCTACAAATGCGTGAAACCATCGCTGACGTGTGACCAAAGGGATGTCGATTTCTCTTCTTGCTTCTTCATAACGTTGCGTCTCTTGGTTAAACTGCAACAGAGACTTTGACGGTTCCTGAAGTAAACATCCCGTTCAGTTCCTCCATAGCGGATTTAATTACTAGCCATGATGTCATCACCATCACAGGTCGACTGACCACGAGCTACCTGAGCGTGAAACGATGGTTAACGCTCCTGTTGGAGACACGAGATCGTCTGATATCGACGTCGTTTAAAAAACAACACAGTTTGGGGAAAAGAACTACACTACCCACAATCATAGAGTGTATCAACGACTTCTCTGATTGGTGGAGCTCGCTGTTACCATGGCAATGCTTCCCGCCCCTCTGCGCCGAATGCGAACCAAATAGCTTGGCTAGCAGCCTAGCTAGTTAGTTAGCTAACACGACATGTTCTGCAGCAGTGAATGTAATTTATATCTTCAACAACCGCCGAGAAAAATCTGCAGCGCCACTCGCTCGGTTCGTCCTTTCTGTAACCGTGGAAACATAACCATATGATCACATAGATTGGATGGACGTGCCTGTAAAGATGGACGTTGTTTTTGTGACGTTAGGAAGCAACAAAAGAAGTTGTTCCAGGGTTTTTATGATTGCTTATGATAAATGGATACCAAAAGGCTTCAAGGCAGACGTTTATGTCGAGTGTTCCTGCAAAGGGCTGTAACCACGGGCAACGGGGCGGGCGGTGGGGGGGGGGGGGGCAATCCAGTTTACACTCAGGGGGAGAGGTTTTAGACCGACTGAACCACTCAGATATCAGATATGACTTTATTAAAAACAAGTTTCTCATGTACTCATGAAACAGAACATGGAAGCACATCATGGACTCAGATTTCTACATTTGGTGTATTTTTGAGGATGTTTTTTGAGATTATTGAAGGAGAAGAAACTTCCTTCATGGATCTACGGGATGAGGATATTTGGACTGACACCCTTCATATGTCATTGATCTTACTACTGGACTACTGGACTGAACTTCAGCTGCGTTTGATGACGACTCTGTCTGATGACGAAAAGGAAGAGGAGGAGGAGGGACGAGAAAAGAGAACATTGGCCATCTTTTCTTCCTCTTTGGCCTTCCCCCTCTTCTGCCTCTTGACTGTAAACTATTTCTCAAACTAGCAGAATAAATGTATTATTGAGTATTTAATGGGTCCGTTCAACGAGAGCACATAATGTCTGTAAATGGTAATCGTCGGGTCGAGTGATAGATCATCTCATGAGATTGTAACTTTATATCATGTTGCTGGTGTTTCTATGATCGTAATGGTTATTGCAGGGTATTTATACACTTTGAAATGTTTCCTCTTTTTTTTTTTTTTTACATTCTCTCGTGTTTGTAGACTTTCAAATCAGTGGCGTCGTGTGGAAAGCATGTGCAGCAAAAGTTCAGAAGGTGATCCCATGTAAAGCCATCTTTAAATCTTTTTTGACTTTTTTTTAAATCGCGTGCATGCTCCCTCTTCCCTCACCATCACTCTCTCCCAGTAACACCAGTCTGCTGCTGGTGACTGAGACGCTCCTGTGGAACAGCAGGGGGCGACTCGTGCCTCGCTGGAGGGCACTCATATCGTGTTTGTCGACTGTCATCCATTTTATCTTCAGCCCTCGCTCAGAGTTAGGCCGTGAGCTTTATTCCATGTTTCCTATTTTTCAACAGAACTGGTTTCCTCTTTTTATTTTCCTCTCCTTCTGTTGGCTCTTCGTTCAGTCGTCCTTTCACCCTAATCTCTCGGTGTTTGTTCACATCTTTTTCCTGCTTCACCCCCTCGCAGATGATGGATTTAATTTCCCCCGATCATGACCAGCGTAGCCTAATAATCTGTGTTTTCTAACGTTCTGACTCGTGCGTAATCGTAGACGATAGAATTTATATGAATCTATTTATTTTTTGTGGTGACGTGTAGATATTCTGAGTGTTCTTTTTGTTTCCTACAGCGGTGACTATGGGGCGTCAGTAGTCTAAGAGACGGAGAAGTGAGCGATCAGATGTGTGTGTCGGTGTCGTCTGTGTTTTTTATCAACATGTGTGCATTGTTACAAACTCTCCAAACGAACACACGCAGTTAACTGGTGTTCTCTCCTTGTGTTAAGACGTTTCTCTGGAACATGTGAGAAGCGTATGTCGGGTTCCTGATGTGTAAATCTGTTTCTAAGGCAGCGTGAGTCACCGACTCCTTTATTCCAAATCTTAGGCTACTGACATGAGTCACATCTCCAACTCTTCAGATGGAAAACTGGCAGATTTCCACTCAGCAGATGGATATAAATATGAACACAGTGGAAGCAATACAATAAAGTGTTATATATACAAATATATAAATATATAGATATATTCAATAAAGTTCTATATGAAAACGTTGCTTCATGTGAATTCTTGAGTTGAGTTTCCTGGTTCTGATCCTGATTTTAAGAAACTCATCGTTGCTACCTGAAGAACTCTGAAAGAAAAAAACGGAGACTATCACATTTATACGCCTCATTTTGAGTTTCTGACAGCTGATGACTACCTGTGCAGACGCGGCCTCAGCCAAGTGGGCCATGCTCACACACGTCACCATGTGGTGGACTCTGAAGCTTCAGTGTTTATCCAGCTCTGCATGGGTCTGTAAACCTTTCTGTGTTCTAACCTCTCTCCATTTTTCAAAAGCATCTCCAATATTGATCCTAGTTTGAGCACGTTTCTGCTCGTGGAGCTTATTAGAAACATGCAGAGGCTTTTTAGGCCCGCTTCCATCGCTGCAACACCTGTTGACCTGATAACTGCTCTCATATCTGGCAAACTGAGGGGCGTCCAAAATGGCCGTGTGGGGGGGCGCCTTAAAAGCGCCTACCTTCTCTGGTTCAAACAAATCCAGAGCATTCAGGAGCAGAATCTAAAGTTAGAAGGAGGACATACTGGCTGCTGCATTGTTGTCAGAGAAGCCAGCACTACTTCTTCTTCTTCTTCTTCTTCGTCTTCTTCTTCTTCGTCTTCTTCTGCATGTGTGGCACATCCAGCGTTTGCTCTGGGCGTGAATTGGCGTGCACTGAATGATGTAATGCTGCATTTAAAGCAGTGTGGGACAGTGGGCTGCTCAGAATTGAGTAAATGCCAAAGAAGAAGAAAAAGAAGAACAGAGTAGATCAGATTTTAGTCTTGAATTTAAATGTTATGCTAATGAGGGTTAAATATACTGAGGAGAAATGTCACGCAGTGGGAGAGCAGGAGGATAAGTGGAGTCTCTGTGTTTTCTCTGATGTCAGACTCGTTTCTGCCTCTTTATTCACCAAGAGGAGACAAAATACAAAACTACGTTTTAGAGTTAGGTTTGCTGCAAAGGATGGATGGATGGATAGATGGATGGTAAGATGGATGAATGGATAGATGGATGGTAAGATGGATGGATGGATAGATGGATGGTAAGATGGATGGATGGATAGATGGTTAGATGATCTGACCTAAAAAAGGAAACAGACGGTGACAGGCGGTAATTACCTCACAGCAGCGTCTCTTAATAACACTGAGACGTCTCCTCAGGAGGGAGACACGGGGCGGACCGTCAGCCCGGGGGACATGTGACACTTTTTAATCCCGCTGACGATACACCTGCTGGCGGAGCACGCTGCGGAGAGACTGACATGTGTTTGGTTGAAGCATCAGAGGAATGAGATTCGGTGTCAAAGTTTTAATTAGTTGGCCTCTTTGTCTGAACGTCTTCAGGTCTTCACAGAGCGGAGTTATGACTGCATGTTTGCATTCAGACCACGTATCTGCAACTCAGCAAAGACACAGGACGGCTCGTGTTTATGTTGGTACACTGCACTCCATCATTTAGGGAAGAACACCTTTTCTGCAGCGTCACCTCTTTGTTCCAGAGGTGAACATTCATACTTTTATATTTGGAGTCTTGTTCAGTGACAGTTTACCACAAAGGAGAAACTTTTTCACAGTTACATACATTTCTTTAAAACAGAGAGCCCATTGCAGGTGTCCAAAAAACTGCAGTTCCTTAATTGGCCACTTGAGGCCGGTTCTTGAAGCAAGTCGATTCCAATTAAGGCCTATAGGGCTCACCAGCCAATCACAGGGCTGACATATAGAGACAGACAACCAGCCACACACACATTCACACCTACAAGCAATTTAGAGTCAGCAGTTAACCTAACGAGCATGTCTTTGGACTGTGGGAGAGAACCCAGGCAAGCACGGGGAAAACATGCAAACTCCACACAGAGATGCTCCTGTCAGACAGGGATTCAAACCAGGAACCTCCTCGCTGTGAGGGGACAGTGCTAACCACTGCACCACCATGCAGCTTTAAGAAGTTTATGTTCCTCAAAATAAATGTATCTGCTGATTTATAGACCTCTCTTTCCCAATGTAAGCTTATGGGTGAAAGTATTTTTTGACCCAATGGCACATCATGCTGCAATACCGGGTTTGGCCACCATGTAAAATTGGCTTCAACGGCTAACTTCCTGGGGGGTTGGGCACCGCAGAGAGCCTCAGAAAAACTTGATTGCACAGAACTGATTGGTGGATATGTGGGGGAGGAAAGATTGAGATAACATGTTTTTCCTTTTTTTCTGTTGATGTATCCTTTCACCGACATCTCATCACCACGTGTGGCCAATGTAGAGCTTTCAATAAGAGCCAGATACACTGTGACTCTTCACAGCGGGTCGATGTCCACACTCGGGGCTCTCCCACGGTGCACCTGGCTCTCCTGTAATGTTATCTCTGATGTTTGCAGTCCAGTCGTTGCATTCTGTACAATACGATAAAAGCTACCATTCAACAGCCCACAGGAGTATGCCACCTGTGAGGACATCGTGCATTTTTTAATTTCCTCTCTTCATTCAGTGAGATGCTCGCTCGCCCACCGCCTGCCTCTGCTTCCACGGCTCTTTAGGGGAGAAGAGGGCATGTCTGTAGTCGCTGATAACGGCTCCAGGGTTGCTGACAGATGGCCATATGCCTGCAGGGAGGTCTGTCAGTCAAGATTATACTCTCATATCCTCCAGCCCTCAAATCCATCGTCACTTCTGCAAACAGAGATCCCAGATCCCATGAAAACCTGGGCTGCTGTATGAGCAACATCTCTTTACATTGATCTTCTTAGACACGGCTCAAACTCTATTCATGTACACTCAGTCTTCATAAATACTCATACAACATGTATCTTTAAAAATCAGAAACTGCAGATTAACAAATTTAAACCTTTAAGGAAGAACGTGTCTCTTTTTGATCCAGTAGGTGTCGCCCTTGAGCTCCAGCATGAAACCAAAACAAACTGCAGTTTGGCCACACCTCCTCCATACTGAAGCCCCCGCTCTCCTCCAGAGACACACCTCCAACCCCCTCTATTCGCAGTCACATGATGGAGTTATTAAATTGGAACACGCCATTATCAAGCTCCATTAAGCGCAAGCTGTGGACAAAATAGTCCTTGGCTCGGGCTACAATCACCTGTGTCCTGCATTGTTGTGTTAGCATGCTAATGTTAGCGCTCTTTAGTTAGCTCGTAGCTTCACATTTCATGTAAACTGACACAGAATGAGCGTGATCTAAAAACTCTTACTAACATCCAAATAATCAGTGAGTATGTTCTTCTTCTTCTCTCTAGTTCTTGACTAAAACAGCTTTTATACACAAGGGGAGGAGCCGGCCGTCCATGTAAACACGGCTCTGA